CATTGGAGCTGCGGCCGTGCCCGGCAGCGCCAGCCGCCATTGGAGCGGCGGCCGTGCCCTCCCTCGGGCCGTGCTGGGCGCGGAGATGGGAAAGGAGCATTTGCCGAGGGAGTTTTCTCAGCAGATCCCACAAAATCAGTTGGGTTTTGTGAAAAAGGGCGTTCACTGTTCTGGTAAATTTAAAAAGGTTTAATAAAAAAGACAGTAGGAGACAAAGACAATAAAGCAAAGGGTTAAAACGGCCGGGTGTTTGGCACTCTGCCAAGAGCACACCTGGTGTTTTGGAAACACCCTTTATAGACCATTTCTACTGCATCAACTTGATGCACATTCATAGACTTCATGCATATTCAAACTTTTCTAATAACCAGTTTGCCTTTTCCAGGAACTGTTCAGCATGGCCACTCCTTGGGCCCACCTTTTTAGAGCATGCATGTTTCTTGGCTTGTGACTTCAATTCTCTTCTTATCACCTTTAAATTTGGGCCTTGGCTCACTCTTTCCACAGAGTGAGTGTTGATAATCAGCAGGGTCCCCATTATCTGTTCATTTAATGTTATCCTAACTAAGCAGACAGTTCGAACATATTATATCGATATTATATCGACTATTATATCGACTATTACAGCAAAGCTGTAATACATTTTAACATTATACATATATTATTCATCTTAATACTTGCGAAAAGCCAATATTATAATAGGTATCTATAACAGTTTGAAAAGATCTCCGAGATCATTGAGGCCAAGCTATGACTGAAAGGACCTTGTCAACTAAACCAGAGCTCTAAGTGCCTGTTGGGAGTTAGGTGTCCTTCCTTTTGTTCTGGCTCACCTGTGGAATTTTTACCCATTAGTTGCTGGGAAACCTGATTGCTGGTACTCAGTGGGTGCTTGAGAAACACAAAGAGTTCGGCCGCACCTAGGGGGGAAGGAGGGCAGGAAAAAGAGAGGGCGGGGGCAGCTGGGGGCTGGATGGTTTCTTCAGCTTCAGAGCAGGACACTCGCTGTTGCGGGGAGAGAAGGGAATTCGCCATCACCCAGACGGAGCTGCTGCTTCTTTTTCTTCTTCTTCTTCTTCTATGGGCCTCGCACCCCCTGTCCTGCTGGGGCGTGGCAGTGCCAGGTATCGCCACAGAGCTGCTGATCCACCTCAGCCACCGGCCCGGGATCTCTGCTCATCCCTGCCTTTCCAGCTGGGTGTTCCTCAGAGCCCTGCAGGAGGAACAAGCCCGAGGGGGTTTGTGAAACAAAGCCTCTCCTCCATCCCTTCCCGTCTCGGCTGAGAAGGCTGTCACGGGGTCCCTGGTTCTGTTTTGTTGTTAATGCTGTAGTTATTGTTGTTTGTTTGCCTTGTTATACATACTGGTAAAGAACTGTTATTCCTATCCCCAGATCTCTGCCTGAGAGCCTCTTGATTTCAAAATTATGATAATTCCGAGGGAGAGAGTCTACATTTCCATTCCAAGGGAGACTTCTGCCCTCCTAGCAGACACCTGTCTTCCAAACCAAAGCAGTGCCACATCCAGACTTCCCTTAAACACCTCCAGGGACAGTAACTCCACCACTTCCCTAGGCAGCCCATTCAAGTATCTAATCACCCCTCTGTGAAGAAATTTATTCTGATGTCCAGCCTAAATGTCCCCTGGAACAGCTTGAGGCTGTGTCCTCTTGCCCTGTCACTGTTGCCTGGGAGAAGAGACCAACCCTCACCTGGCTACACCTCCTGGTGTAGGGAGTTCTAGAGGACAATAAGGTCACACCAAGCGCCTTCTTTTCTCCAGTCTGAGGCCCCCCAGCTCCCTCAGCCGCTCCTCATCTCACTTGTGCTCCAGTTACTTTTCCAATTCTGTTGCCATTCTCTGGACTTGCTCCAGCACCACCTCCATGTCCTTCCTGAATTGAGGGGCCCAGAACTCAAGGTGTGGCCTTATCAGGGTGGAATAGAGGGGAAGAATGACTTCCCTGGTCCTGCTGGCCAAACTATTCCTGATACAGGCCAGGATGTCATGAAGCATTGTGCCAGAGAGACTCAGGAGAGCGAGCAGGCTGTCTGCTGATGCTGCACTCTTGTTGTGTCAGGCATAGCACACTGTGAGTTGCTGACATATAGCCTAAATAGATAAACAATTTGTGCCACTTCAAATCTGATTAAATGTGATTAGTTAAAAGTGCAGATCAAAATCAGCGGTCAAAATGGCTATTTGAAAGTCCCAATATATGACACTTTCAATTTCCAGCCCAGGTTGTGTGTCAGGTGTGTTTCTGATGGTTAGAGAATTGCAGGTACCGGTCACAGTCACAGCTCTGCTGGCTGGGCCCTGCTCCACACCATGGTTTTTGGAGTATGCAAAGTGACAGTGAGGGGACACAGAAGTGGCATTGCAGGACATTCTTTTCTCTGCACTGAAAAGAATTCATTTTTTGGTAGGAAGGAAACATAAAAGCAGCAGAGGAAGGAGCAGTACTGAAGTTAAAAGGTTAGTCACAGTTTTGGATCAAGTTGCAGAAAGTCTGTGTGGGTGACTGGAAACACAAGGGTCTGTGGATGTAGGCCTTAATTTGTCTTTCTAAAATAAACTTTAAGGTAACTACGTGGTATAAGAGGGGAGTTGAAGAGCACTGGGCAGTGCTGTGCTGATGGTGAAGGGGTGTGTGCATGCCTGGCTCGCCTGAACTTGTAGATACCAGGTAAGATCAGGCTGTGCCCACAGAATCAGCTGGAGATGTGCGGTTCCAAAATAGCCCTTGTATCTAGGTCAGAGACTCCAAATGGTGAAGTAAGATGACTGTAACTTCACTATACTTAGAGCAGCTTTCCCAGTGCTTATGCACATCTCAGTCTACAGAAACACCGCGCCCTTCCCAGGGGGGAAGCAGCAGCCATGGGGCATGACTGCCATACCTTCCCTACTTGGGTCTCTGGGAGAACGAGGCGCTTCTAACTGAGGGCAGGGCCCCGGAGGCGGGAATGCCAGGGCCCCGGAGGCGGGAATGCTTTGGTTCGGGAGGCGGGAATGCTTCGGTTCGGGAGGCGGGAGTGCTTTAGTTCGGGAATGCCACGGCTCGGGAAGCGGGGCGGGGCAGAGCTCCGCGGGCGGAACCACTGTGTGCGGAACCTTGGCGGCGG